GCCTTAGAATCCGCTTAGCCCCCATAATAATATAGCAGACACAGAGCCCTGATGACGGTTTCTACAGACTATGTGCCTGTGTTCTTGAGACATACACTTAAAATATTTTGAATGTCCTAGAGTATTCTGAGAGTATTCATGATTTCACTGATTTGACTACTGCTTTCTCAACCAACATGGACCTCATTCAATATCTTATGCATGTTTTTCGGAACAGAGGATTTATAGCTGGAAGAGGGGCTCAGCAGATCCCGAGTCCAATTTCTTCATTTTACAGGGAAAGAAACTGAGGCCAAGCAAGATGTAGAGGAGTTGCCTAAGTGCAGACAGAGACTATATGGCAGGAGCAGGATGTGAGAACCTGGTCTTCTGATTCTAAATACGATGATTTTGTTTTCTACCACACCTTTCATGCCTGCTCAGATTCCATCATCAGGTCTCCTCTGAACTCATGTAGGCTGGATGCGGGTTGAAGCCTTTCTCCCTCAGTAGGACCTGCCAGAGCTTACCCTCCCAGAATGTTGTCTCTGAATACACTGAATCATTATCGTGCCACACTAAGGTGTTGAGATAGAACTTCAGTGAAGGTCTGGAGCAAAATTATTATTTTTTTAAGACCCACTCATGTTTTATTCCTGTGCTGTTACCCAGTGAATTTTAGTAAGTTGGTCCAACAAGTAAAAGGCATGTAGCCATTTGCTTTGTTTGTTTTGTATTGGCAATCGTAAGACATAGAATAGAAAGTCTCCATTTTGGATAGATCAGTCCTTACCATGTTACCTTACTTCAGCTATCACCACAAAATAAAGAACACGTGGAGTCCTCAGAGGTGAATGGTAGTTTAGAGAAGGCAGAATTGAGAGCCAAGGAAATACACGGTCATTGGTATGAGTCAGGAATTAAGTTAGGAGTTTTTGACGCTCATATAAAGAACCAGCTTATATAAGCAAAGGCTGCCACTTGATGCATTAGTATTTCTTTTATTCCTTTCCCCGGTGATTTTGTCAATAGTGAAGTATCTTTGTCTGAGCACTCTGGCAATGTAGTCATAGGCGCCATAAAAGTGCAGAGATAGATGGATGCTAGTTCAATTAAGCGGTCTGATCCCAGCCTCCTATATGCTAACCTTGTCTATTTTCGGTTTAAATTTCTGCTCATACATTTTTTAAAAACCAAAAGAAACATTACTTTTCAAGGTTATGTCGAAGTCTAAGCTGCCTTAAACAAAAAGCTGATCCCCAGATGAAAAAGAAAAATTGATAAACTCTAATGTACTTCCTCACAATAATGTTTCCAACTCCATCTGAGATCTTTTCAATGTACTTTTTAATAACATTCGCTTCATCATAACACACAAAATCTTTGGCTTTCAACCAAAGCCGACCTAAAGCAGCAGGGGCAACTCATAGATGCTATTTCTACTGGCCTCTGGATTCAAGAGGGACCCCCAATTACAATCCACTTTGACTATTTTTTCGTTACTAGAAGTGGTAAAATTCATCTGGCAATATTATGAAATGAAACCAAAAAAAAAAAGAGTAGTCAATTATGAGATGTACTTTTCAGTTATGAAAACTCTCCATCAACTATAGAGAACAAAGGAGCAAATGAATTGTTAACCTTCACTATGCCAAGAGTGATATTATTGATTGAATGCAAATGCTTAAGAAGGAGATCTTTCATTTGTATGAATTATGTATGGATAGAAATTAATTTATACTTCTGGCCAGTCACCTGTTCAGCTATACACTCAGAAGCATTAGTGACCCTTTGTAATATCAGAGGCAGTCTCTATCCCGAACGCCAGAGTGTGGAGCTTCCATAGGACTCAAAGGTCCTTTTGGAGTTGGAAAGGTATACCAGGAAAATGAGTGAGGGGGAAAGGAGTGACAAAATCCTGCAGGCCACTCAAATCCTGTGGTAACTAAAGTTAACAGGGATGGACAGTCCATTTTAATAGGTGGGTCACTCCCAGATGACAGTCTGCAACTTTCAAATGCAACTTGAGACACAAAATTCCATTTATGAATACGGCTGCAGAGATGCCTTCTTTGGGGTTGAGTGCTGAGCCTTTCATAAACAGGCTTGGCCACCTTGCATACCAATTTTCCCACATCTCTTTACTGTTTAGGGGAGGAGTTTTTTGTGTTTTTTAAAAACTCGTTCTTTCATTGTGGTGCCTTGTCCCACATCCGTGTTGCATTTCTGCAGAGGTAGAGAAGAAAAGCAAATCTAAAGGTTAAATGGAAAAGAACAAAGAAGACCACTCAGATTCTGAACCATTTGGTGTGTCTGAGTATGTGTGCACATGTGTGTGTGTTTAGATTCACTAGCCTCTCTCCTTTTTTAAATTTTGTTGGATAGATCCCTCAGGAAACCTACACACTCACTATAAACCCTGTGGGACAAAAGATTGTATTTTCCCCAGATATTCTACTTGTGGGGAGCTGGTGAAAAGTAAAGATACCATGCTTAGGAACCAGAATACAGGCTCAACTTCTCTACAGAAGCCTGAAGTCATCAGAATTGGAAGAGTCAGATTTCTAAAGAAAATAGTCCTATGGATTAAACACGATGTTCGCCTCTGGTGACGTGATAGAGGTTGGCAGGGGGGGCAGAAACAACCCTCCCTTTCTGGAAAAAAAAAAAAGAACTGTATTATCTTTTCCTTTTCGCCTAGTTAACAGGTGCCAGCAGTTTAAGTAATCCTTTCTAAGGCAGAAATAAGGACTGTTTTGTCCATCCACTGAAATATGTTGAATTATTATTTTTGGAAGATTGATTTATCACTTATCATGACAAGAGTACACAATTTATACTAAGAACAATGCTTTTCACCTCCCCAGCAGTCTGCTAGGCTCGTGAAAATTTCTGTAATTGACATTTAAAGTATGATTCCATATAAAAGCTTTTGGTATCACATCCCCCACTTCTCCAATTTTTGGTGAAGACTTTCTGTTCTTTTTGATAAGTAATTGTAAGTGATTTCTTTTTAAAGTTTTTTTTTTGACATTTAGAGTTTTTATTTTTATTTGTGCTACAGAAGCTGTTGCCAGATGATTAAAAGTATGACTTTGCCAGGCTTAAATCCCTGTTTCAATTTTCTCGCCTCCTGTTCCTTGGACCTTTCTAATGGGTACAGAATCAGTCTCTAAGCCATTTACTGAGTAGCCAATCTATAGAGGCACCAGGTTATAGATATTTTTAAAAATCTGAATATTTAAAATACGCATTTTCTTTATAGTACTTTCCTATAATTAAAATCCTCATTTGCTTAAAAGGAGGGAGCTTTTCTAAAGCAATAAATTAGCATTGCTTGACCCAAGGTCACTAGTAGTGCTGATTCTTTCTGGGTTATTAATACCTCAAAGAAAAAGAAGGACGGTGTAATAATTCTCCAGCAGTAGATGTAAGATTTTCCATTTAATCAGAGAGAAGGGTCATGACCTTTTGATCTCACATTGACTTCTTGCAGAAATGTGGTCAGATTTCAGACAAGGGGATTCAGAACCTTGGGAAGTCAAGGCTAAGTTGGGGTGGAGGTGGTTGTCGGTCTTGGGGAGATTTCTTTGAGTTTCTTTGGTTCTCAACCAGTGCTGCGGGCAGAGTCTTCCCCCCATCGGCTGATGTCTCCCCTGCCGAATCAGCATGATCACTTCCCAACGCCTCCCACCACCGTGGCTTTCTTTCAGTCTCTGGAAACTGACTTGATTTTAAAACGAAGGCATTAGAAATTAGGTTGGTTGTATCCAGATATTTTCTGGTTTTGAAGTAATAATAATAATAACTAAAATTTACGTAGTGCCTGCTGTGTGCTAGGTTATTATGCTGAGTGCTTAACAGATGTTATCACATTGATCCTTACAGCAACCCTTGTGCCTCAGTGCTACTAAAATGTTGAATTATATTTAAATTATATATAATATTGTAATTTATATATATATATATATAGTATTTAAAGTTGTAACGATTTTTTTTTTTTGCTTTTGACATCATGGCCATTTTTTCTCTTCTTCCCCCATTACCCCCCAATTAAACCCTCCTTTTTAACACTGAAAAACTCTGAGATGACGAGTCTGGTGCTGGATTTATTCAACATTCCAGTCCCACAGTCCCTTACAGAAGAGTGTCATAGACTTACAGATTTTTAGTTAGAAGGGACCTAAGAGATTATTTAGTTCAACCCCCTCATGTTACAGATGGGGAAACTGAGACCTAGAGAAGTTATTTTATGTTATCGTAGTTACTTTGTGTATAGAGACCCAACTGCTTTGTTGTTGGTGACAGTTTTTTTAAAAGAAGAATAAATTCAGGTCTAACGAAGTGCCCAAAGTCCAGTTGGGGCCAGCTTTGAGGTTTCCTTCTCGGTACCCCTCACTGCTCCCCTCCCAGACTTTCCCCAACACTTTAATAAGAGAAATGTAGCCTTTAAAATGGGGTCAGTGTTTGTTCGGAAGGTCCCTGCGGCTTAGGGCGTTGTTTGAAGGCAGCCTACACCCCATTGGTTCCTATGGGGGCTGCGCCACAGAGTGCTAGTCTGAATTTGTGCAGCCTTACTGCAAAGATTAAAAAAAAACCCACCAGAACTCGCTGCTGGTGTTTGATTGCTTTTATATACCAGCTTCAAAATATGTTGTGACATTTTATTATGCTGTGAATCCAGCCTCAGATGGGTGTCATGAAGGATGAAGTCTTCCCCAGACTCCAGCATGTAAATACTGAATGAAGGCAGTCGAGAAGGATGGGACCCTTGGAAGTTTCCGAGTTGGGCTGGGGCACCTTCGGGGACCCCTCGAAGGCGCCGCAGGGAGAGGCCTGGAAGCGAGCGAGGTTCCGATGTCTTTCCCGAAGGCACTGGCCGTTTTTTGTGTTATCGTGTCCCGCTCATGCATTTTCGTTTCTGGGTTGGACTCTCAACCTTTTTTGAGGAAGTCTGGCGCCTACGAGCCACTTTCCACAGCAGACCCTGTAATTTTTGGCTGTCTTTTTCTGTTTTTCAGACTCGAGTCAATCTGAAAGTCCCAGCCAGCCAAGTGAAGCCGACATCAAGGACCAGCCAGAAAATGGTAAGTTTAGCCTGGGGCGACTCTCTCCTGCCTCATTTTGAACCCCCCAGCTGTGTACCTCTAGCCCAGAAACTTCCCAAACTTGAGACCTCAATGGGAGACTGAACTCTCTGACCATTTGGTCTCCCCAAGCAGACTTGCCAGTCCTCTGAGCTGGAAGGGATTTTAGCAACATCTGGTCCAATGTGTACCTACGAGTCCCTAACAGGGGGTCACGAGACCTCTCTTGGATGCTTCTAGTAACAGGGAAATCACTACCTTCCAAGGCAACCTTGAGAGACTTCTTAGGAAATTGTCAACAAGCATTTATTAAGCAACTATGAGGTACCTGAAACTGTGCTGACCACTAGGGATTGAAAGAAAGGCAATTTTAAACGACGACTCTTTCCTTCAAGTTGTAATTTGCCTTTTTCACCTTGTCCCTATTGAGTGGAAGGCAGTAGGGAACCAATGAGCAATTTTGAACAGAGGAGCGACATTGCCCTTCCTTTTATCTACCAGATAGCACCAAAACAAAATAAGGTGGAGCAGCATTGGGCTCTGCGAGTCAGGGGACAATGTTTTAGCCTCTGCTCTGCCTCCTGACTCACTGTATAAACATGGACAAGGCACTTTAGCACTCCCGGCCTCAATTTCCCCTAATGTAAGACAAGGCAGTTGGACTTGACAATCCCTAGCGTCCTTTCCAGCTTTGTATCTGTGATGGCTCGAGAAGGCATTCTTGCATAGGATACCTGAGGTCAACTCACACCCATCAATAAGAAACTTTCAAAACCTGGGCTGGAAGCTATGACTTTTGCAAAACCATATTTGCGCTGGACTGGTCACTTTGTTTGTTGATAACTTGGGAAAAAAATGAAGCTCTTTAAGTTTTTTGCTTTGAATAAGTTTTGTTGATAACTTTTTTCTTTGTCACCGTTGAGTTAATACTCTTCACCCTAAACTGCAGCCTTCCTTCGAACAAAGCTCTTAAGCTCTCGGTGTTCCAAGGAACTCTGTACACATTGCAAAGAAGGTGCCCACCTTCATGAGTGGAGGGAGTTTCCTCACAAGGGAATCCCCTCTATCAGTGAAATCATGAGTTCAGTCCCTATATCTCTGTTGAGATACTGTATTTGGAGTGTCATCAAGATAGATCACTCCTTCATTACGTAGATGGGTCAGTGACCTCCTGCGGGTGGGTTGTTCCTTCACTGGTGTCGTGCTGTGTCTCATCCTGTGGGATTCTGGTCCAAGTTCTCCCATAGACCCTCCAAAGAGGAACCATCCAGCATGTTGGTGCCCTTCCTTTGGGCCTCTATGATATAGATATATACTGTTATATTGGTGTGGTTGTTAAGTCATTTTTCAGTTATGTCTGACTCTCCATTTGGGGTTTTCTTGGCAAATATACTGGACTGGTTTGCCATTTCCTTCTCCAGCTCATTTTACAGATGAGGAAACTGAGGCAGACCGGGTTAAGTGACTTGCCTAGGGACACACAGCTAGTAAGTGTCTAGGCCAGATTTGAACTCGGGAAGAGGCCTGACTCCAGCATGGCACTCTATCCGTTGCACCGCCTAAGAAACATTAAATTGTCAAATGTAGCCCAACTGGTACACATGATGAGGACAAAAAGGGAAAGAAGAGATATGGTCTGTAATGGTAATCTTGGACAATTTTTAAAACATGACTGTAAATTGCCACTTTTATTTATTTTTGATTTTTCCCCACTTTTGGAGAAAAGGCTGAATTAAGCTTGTATTGATGAGAATTGACTCTCAAGAGACTGAGCACTCAACCCCTTGAATAATCCCTTTCTGTCTTCCCTGACTCAGCTCATTCCTGGCCTCTTTCTTTGATGGCTGTTAGTACTTTTGTTGTTTCTACTCCCTGTGCCTTTCCTGGCTGGAGGAAGTGATGAAGAGACTTGGTACCAAGGCTGGAAAAGTTTGAGTTATGGTCTGCTCTCATGATACTCTGGAAAGAACACGAAATTTGGAGTCAGAGGACCTGAGTTTGAATTTCCCTCTCTGGCCCGACAGTCCCTGTGACCCTGGGCAGGGCTCTCTGAGCCTTAGTTCTCCTTTGGCAGCCCCTGAGTCTTCTTCCAGCTCTAAATCCGTGTTTGTGTGATCTTACCCCACTAGACAGACCCTGGGTCCTAGAATGATTTTCATTCCATAAGCCTCAGCACTTCTGTGAATTGTTAGGTGCCAAAATCACGCATCTCCACTGTTCTTCAACTCATCCTACTGTTCCATTCACCCAGATATTTTTAGCTGACATTTCTCTGGTGCTTTAAATTCTGTAATGTGCTTTATATGAAGGATACATGTGTAAGTGCATACGTGCACATATGTGCATACAACATAGTTTGTATCAATTGCGCTGAATTGTTTAGTATGGCTAATAAAGACAAAAATTTACACTTACATGTACTTTTAAATTTAAATTTTTATTTTTTGGTCCAGACCTGTGATTTCACTGGTACAGGGAAATGCCAGTGAAGGTACTTCCTGGATGACAACAGGTCAGCTTCTGTTCTTCAATTTATTGTCTTACAGAGCTGCCTGGGGCCCTTAGAGGTTAAGTGACTTACCCAGAGTCTTGAAGTCAGTAAAGTGACTTATGCAGAGTCTTACAGTCAGCATATCTTAAAGGCAGACCTTGAACCCAAATCTAATTTACTCTGAGGCTAGTTCTCTGTCCTTTATACCAAACTGTCTCCCTCATTCAATCTTTCTCTCTCCCTCTCCTTTCTCTCTCTCTTCTTTCCTCTCTCGTCTCTCCTTTCTTCTTCTTCTTCTTCTTCTTCTTCTTCTTCTTCTTCTTCTTCTCTTCTTCTTCTTCTTCTTCTTCTTCTTCCTCCTCCTCCTCCTCCTCCTCCTTCTTCTTCTCTCTCCTCTCCCCCCTCTTTCCTCTCTCTTCTCACACTCCTTGTTTCTCCTCCTCTCTCTCTCTCTCTCTCTCTCTCTCTCTCTCTCTCTCTCTCTCTCTCTCTCTCTCTCTCTCTCCCCCCCCATATACGTACATAACTGTGTATACATAAATAGATGTGTGTGTGTGTGTGTGTGTGTGTGTGTCTAAAACTTCATCCCAAAATGGTCTTGAGTTTTCTACATTCATAGTGATTTTATTTTCTCTCAAACCTATTGTGTTTTTTAGACATAATCTTTTGTGGCTTCCAATTCAAGTCAATTTAATTCAATTCAGTTTTTAAAAGTTTTCATTGAACATCTCCTATGTGCCAGGCACTGGGCTAGGCCCTGAAGAGAAAAAGACCAAAAAATAAACAAGTAAGCCAAACCGAACCCTGCCTTCAAGGAGCTCACATTCTATAAGGTGATATTTTTAATTTTTTAATTTAATTTTTTAATTTTTAAAGCAATTTTAACTTAATTTAATTTTAAATATTTTCAAATTCACCAAAGCTTAATTAAGTACTAGAGATACCAAGATCAGTAATAACAACAATAACATCCAGTATTTATGTAGCGCTGGAAGGGCTGCAGAGCACTTGCTGTGCATTGTCTTATGTGATCCTTGCGTCAGCCCTTCGAGAGGGGTGCTGTCATCACCCCCATGCTGAAGCTGAGGGTCAAGGGACTGCATATCCTCTCCTGGTTCTAGTTCCATATCTGGTGCCCTGGATCCCTCCGAGCTTGAGAGTTCAAATAAACAAACCCTTCAATAAAAACATCTTTAAGACCCCCCAAATAAAAGCAGTCTCCTAGGTCAGACGCATTCAACCCATAGCCAGCCTGCTATGCTCCTAAGTGCCCCTGAACCAGATTAAAATGGAAATGGGAAATATTTAGCCAAATAAATAGAAACACAGTAAGAGAGAAATAATATTCCATTTTAAAACGAAGTCACTGGGCACCCCCAGGGATCTTTCTGATCCATCCCCATTTCTATCAGAGATTCACAGCACTGTCCTAGGCAGTTTTAATAAAAAACAACAAAAAACTTTGAGTAGGAAAATTCTCTGGAGTTTCAAGAACCTGTGCTCAGGCCTAGCATTGCCTTTCCCTCCTCCTTGCCCCAAGGATCCCAGATCAGTCTACAGGGGATCAAAGTTAACTCAGACTGACCCCTCTGCTTCTGCAGTGTTCACAAAGTGTTACTCAGTATTGGGGGTGGGGAAGAGGCGCCGAGCTCATACCGCCCCAGTTCCACCAGCACCCGTGCCCACAACACAGAGCTAGAAAAGGACTGAGGCAGGATTCAAACCCGTGTGTTTCTGACCTCACATCTAACATTCTACACACCAAGCCACACAGCTGTCTGACAGAGTCCCCTTCAGACCCCACTTCTGGCATATTCTAAGAGCACAACGCTGGGTAAGTCCCTTCGCCTTGCTCTACCTCCATTTCCTCATCCATAAAATGCATGAGTTAGGCTACACATCCCCTAAGGCCCCCTTTAGCTCTGGATTTCATCCATGGTCCTTCCCTCCTGAAGCTGATATTCTCCTGATGTTGTGGGTGTGGGAATCTAACGTGTTCACAAAGGAATATTGTTAACAGTGATTTTTCATCAACCTTTTAAAAAGTGTGATCGTCATAAATTGCCTTCATTCTTCATTTCTCAGTCAACCAATAATGGAGGCTGTAGGTTTGTTTTTCTAATTGTCTATAGACCTATCCAAATATATTGGTTTAGTTTGGGGGTTAAGTAGAACTATGGTCTGCAGGATTTAGTCATTCAGGCCTGGCCATCCCCCTGGCAAGCCTGTGTTTCATCCAACTTCATAAAATGGCCGACAGACCGTTTTCATGCAAATATGAATCCAGAGAGGGGGAGATCTGGCAGAGTTTCCCGGAGCCGTCTGCCGGACAGAGATTGTGCTTTCTGCAATCCAAGGCGTAACCATCACTGAGCTCCAGGAACCTTGGATCGTGAGGCTGAAGGAACAAGGAGGTACCCAAGTCCAGCTTAGATGCCAGACAGATTTACCTGAGCACAAAGCTACAGGCCGCATAGCTTGGGGGAAAGGACACAGGAGCTGGGAGCAG